TCAAGCACTGGGTGATGTGGAGGGGCAGTGGCCCTGGACTTCTCTGGTGTGGGGGTTGCTGTGGACAGGCCAGTGGACACAGTCACCCAGAGATGAGTATGCCGAGCAGACCCACCTGGTCCCTGCAGGCCATCTGCCAGCACAGCCACCCCCCATGCTTGCCTTGGCCTAGAGTGGCAGCCAGTGAGGAAGGGCCCCTCTGCCCGCCATGTGCAAGGCCTCGCTATCTGATATGTGCTCCATGGGGCAGAACACAGTCTGACACCACTGTGGGATTTCCTTGAAGGCCCCTGATGACCTTCCTCAGTATCCTGAGGTGGGTGAAGAAGCTGGGTGACTAGTGAATTGCTTGAACATGGCTTTGGCTTTGCAGGCCTCTGACCTGACGCTCAGGTACCACGCCTGGGGCTGTACAAGGCCTGCACCCAGGGGCCAGCCACAGCGCCTCTCCAGGCCCCTCAGCACAGCAGATCCTGCCTCCAGCCGCCCTCGGGGTTGCCCAGCCTCCTTCCCTCCTGGCCACTGAGAGCACTGGCCAGTGTTGTGCCTGTTGGTCTGCATTTCTGACCTGAGGTGAGGCCGGCCCTCTTCCCGGGAGCCCTCATACCTCTCTTGGGGGCTTTCTGGTGAGGGGTGGGCATCTTCAGGAGGTTTGCGAGTGTAAGATAGGGATGTCACTGAAGTATAAACGGGTACTCGGTTTCTGTAGCCACACCATGGCGCGCATCTTCTTCCAGTGTGTGGTGTGGTTTTTTGTCTCTCTGTGGTATGATTTAAAGAACAAAAGTTCCTAACTTTAATGGATGTAGCTTTATCAGTCTTTTCCTTTGCAGTTTGCACCCTTAGTATCTGGTACAAGGAAACCTTCTATACACCAACGCATGCTAAATTGCCTTCTGTCTTTAGGACTAGGATCTTATTTTTTGAGATACTGGCAATTGAACCCAGGGCCTCTCTACACTAGGCAAGCCTCTGTCCCGGGCCACACCCCAGGGCAGGGCTGGGACTTGGAATCCTCTGGAACTGGGTTTGGCCGGGATGCGAGGCAGAGCCCAGCCGCACTTGGCACAGTGCCCTGCTGCAGGCAGCCGTGCTCCCAGCAGTCCTCGTGCAGCCTGCCAGTCCAGCCCTTGCATGAGTGCAGGGTGCCTCCAGCTCCCTTCTCCTCACGGCTGGCTGTGCCTGAGCCAGTACCACACTTAAGTTATCTGAGCTTCGTGACTCAGTGGTGGAGTGCTTGACTAGCATGTGCAAGGCCCTGGGTTCTATCCCCAGGAATGCAAAAAATTAAAAATAATTCATAATAAAGCAAGTTCCTTCACCTCACTGATTTCCTTTAGTGAGGTTTTCATGGTTCTTACCTTTTATTCTTCCAAACATGTATTTTAACCTCTTTTTTTTTTTTTTTTTCCAGTGCTAGAGATTGAGCCCAGGGTCTCACGCATGCTAGGCAAAAGAATATTTTAAATCCGCTTTATTAAGTTAAAAAAAAATACTTTGGCCAAGTATGTAGCACACGCCTATAATCCCAGTGACTCGGAAGGCTGAGGCAGGAGGATCTCAAATTCAAGGCCAGCCTGGGCAACTTTGAGACCCTGTCTCAAACTAAAAATAACAAGTCTGGTGCAGTTCCCTGGGGTTCAATCCCCAGTACCAAGAACACAGAAAGGCCCCTTTGGGGTTCTAACAGGCGTCGTCTGGACCCTGTGGTAGAGGTGGTGATAGCTGCTGCTGCCTACGCCACAGTGAGCCTTGTGGACAGGAGGGTGGCACCCATCCTCCCTGTGCAGGCCTCTCTTGGATGTCTAGAGTTCTTGTTTTCTGATAGGTGTACCTCTGGCATGTTGTTTCGTGGGGGGGGGGGGGGGGGTTGGTACTGGCGGTTGAATAGGGCTTCACAGATGCTAGGTGAGTGCTCTGTCACTGAGCTCAATCCCTTTTTATTTTATTTTGAGGCAAGTTCTCACTAAGTTGCAGAGGCTGACCTTGAACATGGGATCCTCCTGCCTCAGCCTCCTTAGTAACTGGGATTACAAGCTGGGCTGCCATGCCCAGCTTCTTATTTCTTTTTCTTTTTTTAATATTTATTTTTCAGTTGTAGTTGGACACAGTACCTTTATTTATTTATTTATTTCTATGTGGTGCTGAGGATCGAACCCAGGACCTCACACATGCTGGACGAGTGCTCTACCACTGAGCCACAGCCACAGCCCGTATTCTTTTGAGTCCAAATGCATTTTCTTGCCTGGTGCACTGGCTCGGATCCAGGACATGTGGATCGGTGGCCATGGGGCTTCTGGCCTTTCCCATGACAGTGATGCTTTATGGAAGGCTGTCTAGAGTATGCTGAGGAGTCCCCTTCCACCACTAATTAGCTAAGTGTTCCTTTTTTCAACTTTGAATCAAGGCTGAATTTTATTAAATGCTGTTTTCCTATTTACTGAGGTGTTCATATGACTCTGCCCTTTGAGCCTGTTAAGGTACTATTAATCTCTGTTTATTGATTTTTCTTTTTCTTTTTGTCACTCTGTTTTTGTACACTGACTTTCTGGTGTTGAACCAGCCTTGCATTCCACCCGATCCCGGGAGATCAGTGTCTCCATATGTTACAGACCATCTCTGGCTTGGGGAGGCGGGGTGCTCTGGCACCCTTTTTTGTAAGGTTGCCCCAAGTAGACTTTTATCATATGGTCCTGGTCAGGTTTTGGTTTCAAGACTTTTCTGGCCTCATAAGCAAACAGTTTTTTTTCTGTTTTCCCATTCTATGGGTCAGTTTATGAAAGGTCAGAATTATGTGCCTCATAAGTATGTTGGAACTCTGGGATATAGCTTTCTTTGCTTCTCAACTACTGATGGAGATTCTGCTATGGTTGTAAGAAGACGCAGGTTTGAGTGTTCTTCCTGTTGGTCTGTCTGGAGCTGGATGTGCCCGTCTGTCCCCCGAGGTGCTGGCCTGCGGTCTGTCCTCCTGCTCCCCGCTTCTCGTCTCACCTGACATGCCCCTGGCCACCAGGGTTTCCCAGGAGCAGCCTGCTGCAGCCTGGGTCTGATTTCTGCCCAGGTCCGCTGCTTCCCTATAACGTCAGCACCCATGTGTCAGGCTCTGGTTGCCCCACTGGGTGCTGAGTGTTATCGGCCCCGCACTCCTAGCTGGATTAATTATTCAGTGACAGTTTCCATACTGCAGGTCTTGCCAGCTGGGGGCGGGGGGTGGGGCGGAGCTCAGCTGGCTGTGCTTGCCCTGGTGCTCCTAGGGGCTCTTCCTCCTTAGACTTCTCCTCATGGCTCTCGGGTGGCCCTCCACCTTAGAGTTCTGGTTGTCTTCAGAGCAGCACCGTCTGGTGGCAACACGTGAGCCACAGGGGTAGTTTGAGCTGGAGGGTGCAGCTCCATGGCAGGGGCTTGCCCAGCATGAGCAAGGCCCCGGGTTCATCCCCAGCACCAAATAAATAAGTGAAAAAAGGAAAACAATAGATGAGATATACTTTATTAAGCACAGCACATCACAACGTGTAACTAACTAAGGAAAAAAATAAAATTTTGGTATTTTACCTTCTTGTTTTTCTGTTGAGTCTAAACTCCGAAGTCTGGCCTCCACACAGGCTGTGTCTTGGGCCCAGAGCCACCTTGTGGAGCTGGACCCACTCTGTCCAGCACCCCGTCCACTCCTGCGCCTCTGTCATCTGCTGTGGAGCCCTGGTGACATCCCTAAGGCACTTGCTGGCCAGCACGGGCAAGCACCTCTGCTCACAGGGCCTGGGCTCATGTGCGTCCTGCCGGTGGGCCTCTTCCTGCCTGCCTGGGCTCTGGCAGTGCTGTCCCCTTCTCCTCGGCCTGCCACACTGCACTGGGTTTCAGGGCCCTGTGTCACTGGCCAGGCCCGGCGCAGAGGGGACTTGACTCTGTGGGGATGAGTGAGTGAATTGGGAGCTCTTGCCCAAGCCTGCCCTCTCTGTGGCGGGGTAGGTGGCCACGGGGCAAGATGGGCATGGGGCAGGGGCAAGGCGTCTGCCTGGCCAGCCCGCTCACTGCAGCCGGCCCCTCGTGCTCCACGCGCCGTCCCCCATTAGGCCCTCAGTCCTGGGCTCTGGAAGCAGGGCCAGGCTGGTTCTGTGGGGCCTGAGATGAGAAGCTTCAAGGTGGGATCTGCGCTGGGGCCCTGGCCTGGTGTTGAGTTGGACTCTGTGGGCTCTCTAGGTTCTGTGGGGTCTAAGTTCAAGGTGGAGCGGCCTGTCACCAGTCTAGGGGAGACACAGTAGGGGTGCTGCAGGCCAGGTGGACTGTGGCTCCCTCCTCCAAGTTGTGCCTATCTGAGCCAGCTGCAGCAGGGTGGGGGGACACAGTGGGGAGACCTTGTCCCTAATAAAACCTTGGACTCAGGTGGGAGGTAGGAGTGAGGGGCCAGGAAGGAAGGCCCTGAGTGCCCGTCCCCATCCTGGGGCCGCTCAGTAGGGTGCAACCAAGGCTTCTCGCCTCCCTGTGGCCTGGTGACAGAGCTGAGGCCCAGTGGCTGCCTGGAGCACCTGCCTGCTGGCGCCCCTTCTCCTCTGGGTATAATTAGCCCCACGACAGGTGCTGTGGATCGAGTGCCCAACCCAGCCCTGACCCAGTGCTGCCCGGCCTTAGCCGACCTGCCGCACCCCATGGCCCGGGCTCCAGCCTGAACCCTGCCTGGCAAGGTCCCCTGGGGCCTCAAGCCCCACCTGCCTTCCTCTGGGCTTTCTCCACACCCACCAGGATGGACAGGCTGTCAAGTGGGGGCGGTAGACAGGCAGAGCCCTGGACAGTGGCCTGGCCTCAGGCTCTGGGAGTCCTCAGGATGGCCGGTCCCTCAGGCCATGTCCAGGGGCCCAGGCGAGCCACTTGGCCTGGTGACCTCATCCTTCCGGTGAGACACCTCCAGCCCGAGACCCAGGGGGCACCGTGCAGCTGCAGGGACGCCTCCCAGTGCCATGCACAGCGTCCGTGCAGCACACCCAGCTGTGTCCCTTCTCCCCCAGTGCAAGAAGAAGCACACACTGCTGTGCCCAGACTTTGCCCGTAGGGGTGCATGTCCCCGGGGCACCCAGTGCCAGCTGCTCCATCGTAACCAGAAGCGCCACGGCCGGCGGGCAGCTACGCCCCCCACCCCAGGGCCCAGCGAAACAACTCTCAGGAGCAGAATGTCAGCTGGCCACGGACCCAGGTGATGGGGTGGTGGGTGCTGCGTTGTTTGTGACAGAGGTGGCCCAACCCTCCCCTGGGGACATTGACCCTCTGGGGTGAGTCCCCACCCAGTAACCTCTTGTAACTGCAGATCCAAAAACAAATGTCAGTCTGAGGCAGGAAATGGAGTGGAGGTCCCTGAGCTTCAGACCCAAGGGTGTCCCGCCAATGGAGGGAGGTGGGGGCTTTCAGAAACCCACTCCCCCGAAGAGGGGATGAAGCTGGGCTCCCAGGAGGGGCTTGTGGAATGGGGAGCCCCCTGTAGGTGAGGAAACTGGCTGCAGAAAGGGGCGAAACTCAGCTCGGAGCTGAGTTTCCCACTTCTAGCCGACCCCAGCTGCCTCAGCCAGAGGCCCTGAGACCAGCCTGTCCTTGGGGCCAAGGGTCAAGCTGGGACCTGGATGGAGACACCTGTGGCTGCTGTGACAGGAAGTGGGGGCAGGGGCCAGAAGACCTGTCACTGGAATGGTTCCTCACAGGAGATTGCTAGTGCCCTCAGAGCCCCTGACTGCCAGGCAGCTGCCCACCCTTACTGCTGCTCCCTTCCTTTCCTACAGGAAGCCCTCGGCTACCCAGCGTCCCACCAGACAGA